TTATTATTATTATTATTATTATTATTAACTTCTATGTGTGTATGTATGTGTATTGTCCTTTCTCATCACATAATGGAATAACCATTCGAAATGTACTTATTTTATTTTTCTTTCCTGTTAAGGCTAACTTATTTTTTTCTTTTCTTTTCTTGGAATTGTTACTAATTTATTGATATTGTATAGACTGTCATATTTTTTATTTTGCTCTTTAATTTTTGTGTATTTCTATGTCCTCGTGCTAACTTTGTAATTGGCCACTGTGCTGTTAAATTTGCACATAAATAAACATGAATTGAATTGAATTATCATCATTTGTTTGTTTGTTTACTTGGCTGCATTATTGATTTATGTTAATGAAATTATTATTGTTGTTGTCTGTTTGTTTACTTGTCTGCATTATTGTGTTTTCCTCTAGTGCTTGCCTGTAATTTGTCTTTGACTTTACACTGTATTTATCCATATTGTAATTACTTCTATCTACCCTGTGCTCTGTCTGTAATTGGCGTTGTGGCTGTTGACTCGGCACATAAATAATAAAGAATTGAATTGAATTATTGTATCCAGTTTTACTAGTACTGCAGTTCAGTGGTGTATATATGTTAGCCATGTATTTGCCTGATGATGGCTTTTAATAACCGAAACATGTAGCAGAGCCAAACTAGGCACTGACCTTAATGTAGTTGTGTTGTGACTGTTTTAATAAAGAAATTGTATATTGTAACACAACAGGATGCATGAAATGGAAAAAACTGTAAATACTGATACAATGATGTTGCTATTACCATCAGAAATATATATAGTTTTATGCATAAAAAATTCATAGAACAGAACACTGTAAATACTGACACAATGATGTTACTATTACAATCAGAAATACTTATCTGGTTTTATGCATAAAAAATTCACCCACAGTATAAAAATAATGCTCATGCAAATACTTTTTAATGCTTTTTTAAAGCTTTTAATATCAAATGCCAAGTCCTTAATGTCAGCTGGAAGATGGTTATATATCTTAACACCTGCGTAAGCGGGACTTCTATGAAACATCATCAAGTGAGTCATTACTTGAAAAAAATTACAATTATTCCTGGTATTAAAATTATGAATTTCAGAATTTTGTCTAAACAATGATTTATTGGTAACCATAAACAGAGCCAAGGAGAGTATGTACTGAGATGCTAGAGGTAGTATATTTAAAATTTAAAAAACATTTCTGCAAGAATCCCTGGGTCTTGCTTCCATTAGCATTCTAACCGTTCGCTTTTGGAGTTTGAAAATATTCGTATTGTGGGAAGAAGTTCCCCAGAAAATTAATCCATATGTTATAACTGAATGAAAATAAGCATGATAGATTATGTTGTATTTTAGCGTCCTGTCACACTGATCTTCGTCCATGATATGTAAGCAGTGTCTGTCTTTTAGTGCACTCAATTTTACTTGCTACTTCACAACATGTTCCAGCACTACAGTTCCATCATCAGGTGTTCCGTTTGGTTGCGGGTATTGTACAACACCCACAACCAAACAGGGAACACGCAACATGAGACACGATATACCCTGAGAATAAGAGGAACGACCCCCATAGTGGTGAAACTATGCGTGGTGTTAGAATTGGGACAGATAAGATAAATAATCTTGTTTTCAGTATATATCTTTATTATAATTGACGAACATTTTTAAATACTTTTTAAATTTTACAATGACGTAATGGCAGGCAATGAAATAGATTGATGTAAATAGAGCACCTGATGATGGCACTGTAGTGCCGAAACATGTTGTGAAGTAGCAAGTAAAATTGAGTGCACTAAAAGACGGACATTGCTTACATATCATGGATGATAGATTATCTTTAGGGAATTTAAAGATAAGAAAGGTCTGATTGATCTTGCAATATAACACGCTTTGTTTAATTTGGAAGCCAACATATCGGTGTGACTCTTCCAAGACAGAGTATTGTGAAGTACTAGCCCAAGAAACTTTAATTCAGTAGTATTGGCAATAATTTTGTTGTTATATTTAATTTGTATTTCAGAATTAATAATATCTATAGAGCGGAATCCCATACAGCAGGTTTTGTCCAGATTTAATGAGAGTAAATTTGCCTTAAACCATTTCGTCACACTAGTGAAAACTGACTTCAGGTTATTTCCTAGTACAGTATTGTTTTGATTACTGATGATTACACTAGTATCATCTGCAAATAAAATTGTTTGGGGATTTACTTTGATGTTCAGATATTTTATAGATAAAGGTAGGTCATTGATATATAGTAGGAAAAGTAATGGCCCCAGGCCAGATCCCTGGGGAACACCATGTTTGACCCAACCCCAATCTGATTCACCCTTATCAAAGGGTCCATTTTCAATTACCACCCTTTGATATCTGTTTTAGAGATATGATTTTAATAATATATATATATGTTGTCAGTTATACCATAAAATTCAAGTTTATATAAAAGAATTTCATGATTTACGCAGTCAAAATCCTTCTTCAAATCAAAGAAGATTCCACCTACTTTTTCTTTATTGTTAATAGCTGCTAAAACTGTACTTATTAAGTTATATGGAGGTGTTTCAGTGGATAATTTGGGGCAAAACCCAAATTGTTCATTGGCTAGAATGTCATAAGTGTGAATGTGTGTCAATAATCTTCTAAATATTATTTTTTGGAACACCTTGGAAGATGAAGTTAACAATGAAATTGGTCTATAATTTGCACAGTTCTTCTTATCACCTTTCTTGTATATTGGAGTTACAATCAAGTATTTCATATGTAAGGGGAATTTACCAGCTTTATTGAATATATAGCATAAAGGGGAAGAAATGTATGGGGCACTAATTTTTAGTGTCTTCATCGAATCTCATCATATCCAGAAGAATTTTTTGAATGTAAAGAAGAGATAACTTTTTCAGTTTCTTTAGTTGTTATTTTATTGAATATTATATTGGGAAAGGGGCCCTTAGCTGCCAAGTTCAGATAATGTTTAAAATTATTGTTATTATCAGTATTTAAAGTAATTTGAGTAGAAATTTTTTAGTAATATTCAGCAATATTTAAAAAATGATTATTAGAAATACTTGGATTTAATTCCTCAGTTTTACAGTTTTTGTCTGTCAGGCGGTTTTTACCTAACTCTGCTTTAATAATATTCCAAGTAGTTTTAATTGTATTATTGGAGTTGGTAATTTTATCATTATAGCTGAGTCTTTTTGCCTCATTAATCACCTTAGTCAGGATCTTACTATATGATTTATAATATTGCTTTAGACTGTTGTTATCAAGTATCTTTGTCGAAAGGTACAGTTCTTTTTTCCTTTTGCAAGAAGCTTTAATTCCGATGGTTAACCATTATTTAGGGGGAGATTGCTTATAAATTTTCTTTTTCAGAAAGCAAGCATAAAATATTTGCAGATATGTATTTGCAAAGGTATTAAACATATTGTCTATATTCTTATCCTGTGTATTAAACACATTTTCCCATATCTCATAGCTCAATCTAAGTTTAAATTCTTCAAGTGAGAATTTATTAGATATCCGTATAGTTTTATGATTTTAATTTGCATTTCATGCATCCTGCTATGTTACAATATATACAACTTATTTATTTGACTGTCACAACACAACAATAAAAGAATTTCAAGGACAATGTCCAGATATAGTTCTGCTACATGTTTCGGCCACTAGTGGCCGTCATCAGGCAAACACACTTCTACAAACGTACACCACTGAACTGCAGTACGCAAAATTTGATACAATGTCATCAATCATTTAAGATAATTTGCAATAAGAATACAATAACTAGGTTATTTAAAACCAATAAAAGTCATATATAAAAAACAAAATTAAAATTTGATTGATGATTTTTAACATCGAACCAGTTGTTGGTTCCACTTTACACACATATCCATCGACAAATAGTAAATTTCAATGTTTCATTATAAAATTGTATAGGAGGCCCAATAATTAATTGAATAGTTGGAGCCTCATCATACGGAGAATTGTACGTAACGTACAATGTACTGGGCACTTCCCAAATACAAGTCAGAATTTTTACCACTTAAGTGGAATTGCTTAGTTCATATCTGAATGGGTGAAAGAAATACAGTGTATACATATGGTGTTCAAGAAGCATGTTATTAAATTATAAGATCAGTCATGAAGGCTCAGTCAGTAGTAACTGGCTGTAAACTGGATATCTGATGCTTCTCTCTGCAACCATGTCCAGAATGGCTCTAGTGCCAAACGAGTCTTTTATCTACATGAAAGTTTACCATTCACTTCTTCATGACATCATGGCTTGGTGCTTTAATATGACGAAAACTTTTAGGAACCATCACTCTAATTCTTAATAATCACACATGAATGAACAAGCAGGTTATAGCACATTAACACTTCAAACTTAAAATGCTGTATATTTCAATTAGAATTGAAATAAAGTGTGATAATTGAAGAGGATGGATGAGTTAGATATACATCTATACACTAGTACAGTACTCGTAATGTTTCCGGGGACCTTGCAACCCCTACATGATTATACACCCACGTCCCAAACAAAGATAACATTAAGAATACCAGAAGTGCTCATGTCAGTTTAAAATGCTTTAAATTATAAACATCTTTATTTCCTTATTTTATTTGACAAAAGTTCCAATTACTTGGCAATGCAAGGGTGTTTAATTAATGTCAGATATGTGAAGCAATTTTAGAAGGATATATATGGAAGATGTGAGTATATGGGACAGTGGTATTAAGATTAGATGTGAAATTAAAAAAGAATTGCAAAATTAATAGCATTTACACTTAAATTTTGGATGCCTGGAGGCAGAAAGGGTCCCTTGAGGTTCAGGCATAGCCAGTCCAGCTAAATCATAGTAATGTAAAAGGTAAAAGGTAAAAGGTAAAGATGTCCCTGTAACAGGCCATGAAGGCCCACAGGGTCATGAGTCATCGATGCTCCCACATTTTCTAGACAGTGGGTTCATAGATGGCAGTCAGGTTGTCAGCCTTATGTGCTGGCTGCCCTTCACCCAAAGGAAGATCCAGGGTACTCACTTCTGTTAGAGCTTCAGTCGACCCCAGGACCATAGTGCGGCTGGAAGGATGAGGTAAATTGAAAAATATCCACCTCATTGGGACTCGAACCCCCAAACCTTCTGGCTTGTAGCATAGTGCATCAACCAACTATGCTAATGCATGCCCAAACCACATCATAGTATCTATACCTTTCTGTCTTTCCTCTTGCCCCCACTTTGGCACATAGGGCATTCATCAAATGCTTTGTTTCACTTCAGTTTCTTAATCCTAAGACAGTTGGTATGACTCCTTGGATGGGGGATCAGCCTGTCACAAGGCCACTATCCAAACATGACAACAAAAACACAGAATAAACGCACACAGACATCCATGCCTTGAGTGGGGTTCGAACCCACAATCTCAGTTTCTGAGCGAGTGAAAACAGTTCAGGCCTCAGATCACATGGCCAATGTGATTGGCTAGTATTTATAACACTGCAACTATAATCATTTTCAGTTACTGAAAATTGTACTTACAGCACATAACATATAACTCCAACTGACCACATGTCTGTTTCAAATGATATTTGGTCAAAATTAACAATCTCTGGTGCCACAAATTCAGGAGTTCCAAATAATACTTGTAATTTCTTTTGTGGATCATACTTTCTTGCCAAGCCGAAATCTATGATTTTAATTCTGTTCCCTGTTCTTGTTAGGCACAATATATTCTCAGGCTGAAAATTAAATAATAATCTTTTAGCTACATGCACAAATAACTGTTGAGATATTATCTGTATGCTATTAGAAATACATTGTTATGTGTAACTTTCTCATATTCTACTCATGTCAGAAAAGACAGCAGACAACATCTTATTAAAAACTAGAAGTGAACAGAAAGAAATATTTGTTAATATGCTACTTTCAGAATGTGTTATGAGCTGTGCAGAATAGTCATCATGAAAGAACTATAGTATTCATACTCTTGAACCTCTATTGGAGGAATTATTTAGAAGTGGATAAAACTCTGCTTTGGTGTACCATGTGATGTCATCATACAAATGGGAATACTTATTCATTGTTACTGGCTGAATATCCTGAAGGCACTACGAGTATTTAAAACAAATAATAAAATCACCTACAATTTGTGTTATACATTTTGGGATTCTGAAGAACTGGGCCTTATATATTTCTATTCTATTATTACCATTATTTGCTGTGCTTCTATAAGCAGCCAGATAAATTTCACAGATTGATTAATTAATTGTCCACTTTATATCAGAACAGACTGTGATCTTCTGAAGAACACAATCCAATTCTTCACCACCACGAAAACTTCAAATCTCATCATGATATATTTTGCCACTGTCATGTTTTTATTTCTTATTCTCACCAATAGATTACCTTACTATTGTGCATTTTCCAATGATTTTTCAGGACAAAAAGAGAAGTCCTGAATAATGCAGATATCACCACAGAAAACTGATTTTCATTAGAACATAGCATTCTTCAAGATAGCACAATGGAACTAAATCTGAGACACCCATACATGAAGAGACAGAACAGCTACAGCACAGCAATAACATTCTCCACAGGGATGAGTCACATGTGTGAGTCATGAGTACATGTTGAGTACATTACAACATATGGCACTGGTGGTAAAATAAAAATATGGTTCAAGTCCTATCTGGAAAATAGACGACAAAGAGTTGAACTCTATAATAATGAAAATGGAAAATGCTGTTCAGACTGGGGAACTGTCAAATATGGAGTGCCACAGGGCTCGATTTTTGGTCCTTTGTTGCTCCTTTTACATATTAATGACCTGCTGTCAGCATTAAGTACTGACAAAAAGTCATTGTTGTATGCTGATGATACAAGTATATTAGTGTCAGGTATTAATATCGATGAAATTCAGGAAAGGTCTAAACTTATGTTAAATTCCTTAAGTCAGTGGTTTGAATACAATGGTTTATCCATAAACTTGAGGAAAACTAAAGTGTTAAAATTTGAAACAATCAATCGTGACAATATGCCTGTACATTTAAAGTTTAACGATGAATTATTACAAGAGGAAACTCATATTCAATTTTTGGGCATTGAAATTGATAAGTTCTTGAATTAGAAGACACAGGTTGAATCATTGTTACCCAGATTGGGAAAGGCATGTTATGCAATACGAATTATGAAAACATAGTAATGTTACAACACTTAAAATGATATATCATGCATACTTTCATTCATTCATGAGATATGGAATAGTTTTTTGGGGTAATTCATCAGAGGCCAAGACCTTTCCCTTACAAAAGAAGACTATTAGAATAATAATGGGGATGAAACATAGAGAGTCATGTAGGCCAGCATTTATAAAGTTAAATATATTAACATTGGTCTCTCAATATATTTTATCTTTGATGACTTTTATGATAAATAACTTGGAATATTTTACTTTTAATTATTCAATTTATGAGAGACCGACAATACACAAAAGAAATTTAGATGTCCTACAATCACATCTCGCAATGAGGCAGAAAGGAGTTCACTGCATGAGTATAAAAATATCTAACAGTCTGTCTGATTATTTAACTAAGTTAGTACATGATAAAAAACAGTTTATAAAAGAAATAAGAGATGTCCCAAATTATATATTTCTTGAATAATTACTTCCTAATTATTTTCATTATGTCACATGTTATATTATTCCAGTATATTACTTACAACTTAAATACTATCTTAAAAAAGTCACAACTGTTATATTCCACAGTGTTTCTAATTCATCTTCATGAATATGGGGAAATATGTGAAGTATCTTCTGCTGTTGATACGTGTATTAAGAAATGTTTGTTTCTTATGCAGGCATACCTTGGAGGTATTGCAGGTTTAATTCCAGATCACTGTAATAAAGCAAGTCACACGAAATTTTTGGTTTCCCAGTGCATATAAAGGTTATGCTTACACCATACTGTAGTCTATTAAGTGTGCAATTGCATGATATCTAAAAAAACATGTATATATCTTAATTAAAAAATACTTCATTGCTAAAAAGTGCTAAGCATCATCTGTGCTTTCAGGGGAGCCTTAATCATTTTGCTGATAGAGGGTCTTGCCTCGATGTTGGTAGCTGCTGACTGATCAGGGTGGTGGCTGCCAAAAGCTGGGATGGCTGTGGCAATATGTTAAAATAAGACAACAATTAAGTTTGCCGAATCAACTGACTTTTCCTTTCACAAAAGATTTCTCTGTAGCATGCGATGCTGTTTGATAGTATTTTATTCACAATAGAACTTCTTTCAGAATTGGAGTCAATCCTCTCAAACCCTGCTGCTGCTGCTGCTGCTTTATCAACTAAGTTTATGTAATATTCTAAATCATTTGTTGTCACAGCATCTTCACCTGGAGTAGATTCCATCCCACCCCCTGTATCAGCACTTGCTGCTTTACCTTGCACTTTGAAGTCATGAACCTCATGAACCAGCTTCTGCTAGCTTGAGACTTTCCTTCTACAGCTTCCTCACCTCCGTCAGCCTTCAAAGTTTTGAAGAGAGTTAGGACCCTGCTCTGGATTAGGCTTTGGCTTAAGGGAATGTTGTGGCTGGTGTGGTCTTCTATCCATAGTACTAAAACTTTCTCCATATCAGCAATAAGGCTGTTTTGCTTTCTTATCATTCGTGTGTCCATTAGGGTAGTATTTTTAATTTCTTTGAGAACTTTTCCTTTGCATTCACAACTTGGCTAACTGTTTGGTGCAATAGGCCTAGCTCTTGACCTACCTTGGCTTCTGACATGCCTTCCACAGTAAGCTTAATCATTTCTTGCTTTTGACGTAAATTGGGAGATGTGTGACTCTTCCTTTCACTTGAACACTTAGAGACCATTGTAGGGTTCTTAGTTGGCCTAATTTCAATATTGTTATGAGATGAGGAACGTCCGCTTGGTGGAGCNGAAAAATTGTGAGAATTACCAAAGAGTAACACAGAGACACTCACTGCCTGCAGACTGCTGGAAAAATTGCATCGATTGGCATCGATCGGCATTGATAGACTCGATAGACTTTCTTGATACATGGTTACCACTAGTTGCTACAAACATTCAATTTATAAAAAAACGCAATATCCGCAAAGACCAATAAAACAAGGTATGCCTATATATGTGCAGTATGGCCCAGTACAGCCTGTAAGGCTAGGTAGTGCAGTTTACATTTGCTGGTGTTCTGTATTATTCACTGTAGGATGTGAACGTAATATCATTTACAAAAAAAAAACAAAATTTTTAGTCTTCTTTTCAAATGATGAAACATACCTTCATGTCAAGATGTAGAATGTTCTGTTTGTGAATGAATTCAATACCTTCACATATCTGTCTCATAAAAACTGTGCAGCTTTTCTCTGTTAGAATGAAGTCATCACATATCACCCTCTCAAAAAGTTCACCACCTTCAATTCTGAAACACAAGTACATAAAATCGGTACTATAAAGTTTAAGTCCTGATGTAATTTAGAAGTACAAGTACAACGATTGCAAATGTCAAGCATAATTTAACAAATTATTTTGTTCAGAAAAACATCTGCTAAAATAAAAACTCAGACTCCATATTTTTAATACCACATACTATAAGGTATGATAACAGCAATCAATAAGTATAAGGACAAGAGGACTAAAACTGTTTCATGAGTTTTGAGATTTTCATGGTAGTTCATACTAAGATTAAGTGCTTTGTTAGACTGTGCTCATCTCATCCCAGAATATGTAATCTTAAAAACGCTACATTTGTCAATTGTAATTAGATAAAGAGTAGGCATAATGCTTCCACTATCCTCAAAACTATTATTGCAGTCACTTGAATTTAATTACATTATTCATGCCTTAATTAAGTGAATTGATTTTAAGATCCATGTTCTGATTCTGATGCAAGGTTATATTATTTTTGTCACAAAGCATAAATTTTGCTTTTATTACAGTACCTAGGAAGATCCAGGATAGCACAGTCGGTATAGTGACTGGCTACAGGTTGTACAACTGAGCGGTTGGAGTTCAAGTCCTGGTAGGGTCAAGAATTTTCACTTCTCCACCTCATCCAGACCAGCTCTGGGGCCCACCCAGCCTCCTATCGGAGGGGTACTGGGGACTCTTTTCCCGGAGGGTAAAGTGCTAGGGACGTGAAGCTGACCAGTCACCTCCAACTAGTGCCGAGGTCAAGAAAATGTGGATCTACACATCCACTCCCCCATACACTTTCATGGCACAGTGCTTAATTAGTTAGGCACCGGGACAATACCCAACAACTTCTGAAACACTGTTAAATTAATATAGGTCTAGAAGTCTTTCTGTTGCAATATATATTTTTAATCAGCCTTCACTGAAGGCTCAGAATTTCCCTTTTGGGGATGCAGTAATATTATATACAAAAATATTATGTATATATATATATAATTAAATGATTAACATTACTACTTTGCATTTGGGAGGTCTAAGGTGTGAATCTCAGCCTGGAACCTGAATGATGATGTCTGCCATCTTCCACAGAGACTCCAGTAATTTTTAAAATACCACTTGTACCTTAAAAATATAACACAACCTCTCCTTACAACTAATCAAATTTATCATTCATAATCATCTTACCATTTGACACTATGTATATAATGTATGAAATGGTAAATGCATTGTTACAGTACCTAAGAAGCAATCAGTCATTTAAGCTATAAACAATAGCATGGAACTTGGTGTAATGCAGGTCTATCTTCAGTTCAGAAACAAGGTTACTATTTTACCATTTAAACATGGACCTAACAATTTTGTTCATGACGTATATTCTGTGGACAGTAACAAAAATACTCTTTAATCAGACTATTATTATATTTACGGCTTTTTATTAAGATCATGTGACACACTGTTTAAAAATATTATTTTGGACTTTTTCCACCACCTGAGTCTATTAAAACAACTATGCTTTGGAAATTAGTTCTGTTTCCATCTTCAGGTGGAGAGTTATGAAAGAAAACCTACTCTGTTGGACCTCGTGGAAGAATTACTATCAAATCATCCACCAGGTAAAATTCTGCAGTGTTGGAAGCCTTCTAACATTATGCAGTTTAAAAAAGTTCCTTGGCTGTCTGAGTTATGGTGACTCATCAAGACTGACATACTTTAACAGAGATTACATTACAATGGCGGTTCTTCATGCTCTGATATTACAACAGCCACTGTACTCACAGCTCAAGTACAACACACATGGCCTTCCCATTGTCATAGGCATCATACAGTTGAATGAGACGTGGATGCTGCAGTAGACGCATAATTTCAATTTCACGCTCCACATTGCGACGGTCTTCACGTTTTGGAGTCGCTACAAATTTGGCTGCTAGTTGTAGGCCACTACTCTTCTCTCGACACCGATAAACTGTCCCAAACTTGCCTCTGAAACAATGCAGACTTCATGTATTATAACTGAATTCTGAAGTTATTTTTATCTACTGAGCCCTGAAGGATTTCTGTAGGACTGCACTCATATGGAGGAGATATGATTACAGTGAACTCCACATTATCTGGACTGTATGAGGAATAGTGTATGCTGGTTAAGTGAATCTGACAGTTGCATGATAAAAAAATATTCTTACAGAAGCCACATACAAAGTTCAGTCAACATGTTTTTCACTTCAATTCTTGCATGGGAATCCTCCTAGGTGGCAAAGCAGATTGATGTGTAAGAGACTACAAATACATATATTTAACATAATCACAAACTCAACTAGCCTCTACTGTAATGGAAAATATATCAGAGAAGACAATGGGTAGTGCTGCTAGTCGTGGCTGGGAGAACTGCCAAGTGGCAGATATACACAGACACATACATATATATATATCACATTTTTTCAGTAACTCTAGAAAATGATAAATTCTAATTAATAATTTTGTTGACTGGATGAGAATTCCACGTTTTGTTACTGGATAATGGAAGTTTCTGTATTTTTAAAATAAATTGAACTAATATGTAATAATTGCTTTACTCTGTGAAAATGGATTGATGTGGGGGTTCTTGTAGGTATAATTATGTAAAGATAGGCGAAGAATGACAAGATATTTACAAGAGTATCTGACAATCTTTTCTGCAGAAAACAAATACTGGTTGTCATAATGTTCTTAAAGAGGGTGTAACTAAAATTGTTCAAGTATTTTTATTCACTGGATGAGTGCAACCAGCAAATGCAATTGCCATATCTGGACCCATAACCAGAATTATTATATATTGTTTCCTAAACTGTAAGTAAGAAAACTGCATTTACAGTTCTATGGGATTTTATTTTGTAAGCATTCCTTACACTGATCACAGCAGCCGTGCGGTTTAAGGCATAAACTGTCTTCACACGCTCAGACACTGGGGTCGTGGGTTTGAATCCCACTTGAGGCATAGATGTTTGTCTGCTTTTATTATGTGTTTGTGTTGTCATGTGTAGGTAGTGGCCTTATACCCCAACCAAGAAAACCTACCGACTGTTTATATGATTAAGAAACTGTAAAACAGAGGTGAAGGTTTAAAATGGACTCAGATTAAGTAATCTTTCCATTTGTACCCACGGTAGCAACAATTCTTCTGACTTGTATTCAGGTGTTCAGTACGAATCCTGGCCAGGATGCATGAGGGTTATTATGGTATTCATCAGTACCTCCACAAAAATTCCAAGATAATCAATTTTGAATTTGTGTTTGTAATAATTTAAATTAAATTATTTCACAGTTACCGATTAGACGCGAAGGAAACCCCTTACTAACCTTCGTTTAAGGCAGACCAACATTATGGCACGAAGCCAATTCAACGCCATTGTTTATTTTTCGTTGTCGACGCCACTACCGGCTATAATAATATGGCTGCCTACACAGCAATGTGTCCGGTAAACAACATCCCGTAAGGTCAGAAACACATGTTACTGATACCATCAAGATGTTCCAGCAACACTGTGTAAAGGTCATTTTATTTCATTTCTGCTCCTTGAGTCTCACATTCGAGCATTTCATTCTTCCTGTATTACACACATTACCAATGAGGCGAACTACATATGATATACATTTTACGAGTATGACATTTTCTTGCTTCTTTCTTTCTGTACCAACCCCAGAGGCTGGGTAGCTTCGACTGATTGGAAATGGCTATGTAGTGACAGGAGAGGCGTGAGGGCAATCATCAGTATGAAGACACTGACGAAAACCATAACACACCACTCTGTCAGAAAACAAGGGCAAACGGGAGTTTCCATTATGTAGCAGTGCCCGGCAATTCTTCTATCCACACGTCCTCGGAAAACATAAAATCATGGACCAGTTTTCAGGAACCTATCTGTAGGTTTTGCCATAATGGTTGTGTGAGATGGGTGAGAAAGTCAGGATCTTTATATTATTTCTGGCTTCCATCTAGTATTCAACAATACTGCAGCGATTTCTAACCTGGGATAAAGCAGGCGCAACTTCTCGACATCTGTTTTTATTCCTCTCTACTGATAAGGATGTTAGTGATGCCGATGACGATGACAATTATGCGACAATAATAAATAAAACTACTGAGATTCTTGGGCAGTTCTTTTTCCCACCAACACCAGCTGTGTCTTTAGTCACATACCAACATTCTTACAATGCCGTATACAATATTAACACCAAGAAGGAGAATCATAGTAAAATTAAAATATGGTTTTGTAGGCATATAGGTTCTTCAGCGACCCACAATATAAAATGTTGATCTACGAGATATAACCAGTGATGGCCTCTTGACTGTGTCAAGAATGATTTACGAGAACTGAAAATGAGTTGAAGAGAGATAACAGACATGAACGTGCATATGTTATAAAGAATGCCAAGGTTCTTAGAAGACGGTGAAACCTAGGTGCAAATAAAAGACCTCTTGACAACAGAAAGTGAATGTAACTTACAGTATTCTTATAACTTGGAGGTGAATTTTAACCGAACAGAACCCTATGTAACAGTTCCATCAGCTGGAAAAGCCTCACGCCTTCACAATTTGCAACCACTCAGCGCGGTAAGGGAGCGTAGGCTTACTGCCCAAAACACGCACCATCTATAATTATATTCCGTAGTAATGCTGAGGCCTTCAAATTGTGGTTTGGGAATCGAACCCGCGATCCTAAGGCTAAGGTGGCCTAGAATCGAGCGGCAAAGAACATTTGCTGCTTATTTAATGTAAAGCTTAGATGACGTTTGTCTTTAATGGGTTCACATAAAGCTTGGTTTCTTCATCTTTGGCCAAAGTCCAAACACGTATTTTCTGCTCTCGCATAAACAGACTACCGGCCCTTAAGCTTGGAACTTACAAGCATCTACAGATAGGAAGTTACGTAACTCCAGTTTGCAACACAACTAAACGATGAAATGAAATGACACAGATCGCCTTATGATCGAATTTTTCATATTTTTGTGGGGCAATCAACATATCTACCTGCGCCTACAAGTTTATGTTGGAAGGGCTTGTTGCGAAATTTTTGGAAGGGAAGAATTCATAAGAAGGAGTAAAATTGGGATTTGCTTTGACAATTTATTTTCTGTTTATGAATATAAAGTATGGCGAGCCATTATAAACATGTTTGAGGATTACGTTTGGTGTAATTATATACATGTGCTTATAATTCTTTTTCTTGGTTCATTTAACAACATTCTCATGACTGCGGATGTTATGTAATGTCGACTGAAACTGCAAGATGATGTGGGAGGAAGAAATCGTGACCAGCTTTATAATTTGAATAGTTACTTCTCGCTAAATGACCAAGACAGACATAAATAATGGCGTCTAAATATTATAAGAAACAAACAAATGTTAACAAGCAAAGTTAAAGGTCTATGTGCAATTATATATTTACATATAAAACAATAATCAGTAGAAGCATAAAAATATCTCTGCCCTGACTTCTCTTGACGCTTGCAGACATTTCTGGCCATCAACGTGTACGGATGTGCCAATCGAATTCTTCGGACGCTAAATAGTCGCTCGAGGGATCAATCGCTTCGGACCATCATACGGTTGTTTTCAACGTCCTTCATTAAGGAATGAGGATCATCAAAGTAACATTTACAAATTGCGTTCCGAACTAGAAGGACCATACCGCAACTCCAGTACTACAAAGATTAGTCGGATAACATTCGTGACATAAACGCTGTTGTTATACGAGTATGAACGAAGAGAAACATACAAATATTCGCTGAGGGTGAAATGTCGAGGTTGAAGATGGTACAGGCAAAATAGTTGCTACTATGCTATAACGATTTCACCAACGGCCCCTGCATTACATTTGGAATTTCAGATACTAAACGACTAATTTCATAGAACCGAGTTCTATTACAGAAGCCACCAGTCGTTCAGGTGTTCAAGAAATTCCCAACATTTTATGGAACCTGAAGGTTCATTTCCATGTCGACAAGAGCTAACCATTTGTCTCTAACCTTTGCCAGACGAATCTAGCCCGTACTCATTCATGCATAAATGGCTCTACAGCCCTTTGTTGGGCCTTGGCCTCTTCTAGAGTTTCGTAAACTTTGTTACAAAGACGGTATGAGTCCTTGGACGAGTGATCACCCGTTGTAAGGCCGCTACCTACACAGAGGACAACAGAAACACAGAATAAACGCCCACAATACAGATATCCATGCCTTGAGGGGATTTGAACCCACGATCCCAGCGTCCGAGCGAGCGAAGACAGCTCATGCATTAGGCAGCGCGGCCACTGTGATCGGCCCGAATCTTACTACCACATCCTATTTCCCGATGGTCAATTTTATTCTTATCCTCCCACATATGTCTACATGGTCTAGATCTTCGTAATGCGAATCCTTTGTTAGCAAGACATGTTGCGCAACGGGACAGCGTTCAGACCATCGTGTGGAAATCGGGTATCCTCAGAGTTTCTCAGTTTAGTCCCTCCCTGAGGGACTACAATTACGTGTAACATAGGCCTGCATCACAACCGCAAGCTCGCATATTCGTCCTGATTCATCCACAAAAATCTTCACACCTCATTTACTCCCGACTTGACCTCCCCTAACGACACACAGACCTGCATAACACACGTATTAGTCACCACTATAACCAATGACGTCTTTTATACCGCGAAGAGTACGTAACGCAAGTGCAGATTCAGCACGTCAGATATGACGCAATTCTGTGCAGCAGGCAGAGTGGTTACTGCGTGATGTTACCAGATTAGGTTATTTCTGGATCCGAATCCTTCAGTGGCTCTCGTGTGCTGTCTTCTCCCCTCTACTTCTCCTGTCTTTCATCTCTCGTCTTCATTCAGAATTACCAAGTCGCCCTTGCATCTCGATTTAGAGCATTAAGCATACAAACATTCGCATACGCGTATGTATGGGGGGACAGTAGGACAAACCTACAGTCGGTATGATCTTACTAGCTTCCCATAGGC